CTGCCCCCCGCCCCCCCAAATCTGCCTCAGCCACTGAGGAAGAGCCGCTTGTAGGCCTTGTTCATCTGCTCCAAGAAGATGAAGGTGAGCACGGTATGGGGGCCCAGGCGGGCATAGTACGGTGTGAAGCCCTTCCACAGGCTGAAGAAACCCTCGTAGCGGATAACCTTCATCAGCACATCCTAGACAGACAGGCAGGCAGGGTGCTGAGGCCAGGTTCTGGCTTCCATGGCCCCGTCCCACCTCCCCCAGTGACCGTAGCAGCATCCCCCACCCCACCCTGCCCACTCGGCCCAAGCCCCTTTCTCACCAGCCCGTTCTTGTACTCTGGTTTCCCGTCAATCATTCGCATGTTCTGGATCCTGAGGGAGAGGAGATGGGGTCTGAGATGCAGAAAGTGACCCCCTCTGAGCCCCTCAGGCCCAGGCCTACACACTCACCGAGTCTTGACAATGTCCACAGGCATGGAGGCGGCGGTGGTGACAAGGCCGCTGATCATGCTGGCACAGAAGTGGCACAGGATGTTGTCAGAGAAGTACCCTGCAGGAGCGGGGCAGGAAGTGGCACAGTCAGCTCAGACTTGACTGGGCCAGGCTGGGAGCGGAGGACCCAGCTCTGCGTCTCACCTGAGTCCAGCAGGAACTGCTTGGATTGCGAGTAGGAGGCGAGCTGGGCAGCATTGACGACGACAGCCCGGGCCATGGTAGGGATGCAACCCTGGGCAGGGGGGATGAGTTAGAAATGCCCGCGATCACACCCAATGTTCCTCCAAGTGTTCCGCCCCTCCAGTCCACTCACCCGCCACAGTGTGGGGACTCCCTCCTCCTGGGCAATGCGAATCAGGGCATTGAACACGTTTTTGTAGCCGCGACGCTGGTCAGGTGGAAGCCTGGTGGGAATGCATGAGGAGCCCAAGCTCAGGATGGCCCACCCTGGCCCAAGGGAGCAAAGAAAGGGAGGCAAGAACAAGTGAGCACTCTGTTCCACATCAGGCAGGAGAAACCGGTCTTTTCCTTAAGCCTTAGGCCCTGGTGGTACAGGGATTATGGCAAATACTACAAGGTCTGGGCCTCAAAGCCACCAGCAACGCCTTGGGGGAAAGATGTGGCTGTCCGTTCCCATAAAGATAGGCAGTCTCAGAAACCCTAAAGGAAGTACTCTGTCCTATAGGGTCGCTATGAGTCTGAATCCTCCCTGTGGCAAGGGGTTTGGCTTGGTTCGTAGAATCCAAGCAAAAGCCTCGGGGTGGGGGTGGGGGTGGGAGGCAAGTGCAGGCCTGGAACTCACCGGCCGTCAGCGGTCATGCGGATGAGAGCCACTTCGGCTGGTGTGCCCACAAAGGCACCAGTAGCACCTGCCGTCATGCCAATCAGGGCTTTCAGCAGAAACCCAGGCGGTGTACCATCTGCCCCGGTCAGGCGCTCGAAAAGCACGGTGTAGATGCCAAGGCGAGTGGTGGTGTAGGTGGCTTGGCGCAGCAGGCCAGCTGACAGCCTGGGGAGCAAGGGGCCAGTGCGTGAGGCCAAGGTGAGGGGCGGCCAACCCCAGCCCTACCCTCCCATCATGTGGCCCCAGTACCCAGTGTAAATGCCACCCAGTCCTTCTGTCTTCAGGATGCTGGTGAGAGCATGGAAGCTGGTTTTGTACTCCCTCGTCTTGGCCCCTTCCCCGCTCAGCTGCATGCGGTTCTTCACCAGGTCCAGGGGCTGTACAAAAACTGTAGCTCCCATCCTGGGGGAAGATGGGAGTGGAATCAAAGCCCACAGGCAGCAAAGGGGTCATAAAGGGCAGGGCCTGCTAGGCGAATCACCAAGGCTGCAGGCATGCGTGTCTGGAACACCCAGTGGTCCAGAGGGGGTCAGGCAATGAAAGCACACCATGCAGCTCCAGGTTGGTCAAGCGATGACCTGGGAGTGCATCCGGGGGGTGGCAGGGATGGAGGCATGCAGGGGGTGAGGGGGGACTCCATGTTGGCTGGCAGGGGTCATGTGATGATGGTCTAGGGCCCCATATAACCTGGGAAAGTAAAGCAAAGGACTGGGAAACACTTGGGCCCAGTGGGGAGCACTGGGCATGCAGTCCAGTGAGGGGCTCTGCAAAGGGAGAAAAGGTCCGGGCAGCCCATCAAGGGCCTTGAAAGACATTGGGGACCGCACTGAGCCAGTGCCAGCTCTGGGCATTACAACAGACCCACTGACAATAATGGCCCGGTCCTTCCTCCTCCTCCTCCTCTCCCAGCCACGGGGCCTGAGCTTACCCGGCCAGGCCCCCAAACAGGAACTTGACAGACTTAGGGGAGGTACGGGGCTTCCCGTCTACCCCGCCAGCCGCGGGACTCGCCGCCGCCGCCATCGCCACTCAATGGCCCCTCGGCTCCCGGTCCCGAGCGCGCGCGGCCCCGCTTGCGCCCAAGGTGACACCGCGCGCGCAACAGGGGCCAGGGCGCGCGCACGCCCCTCGGCACCTCAGGTCCCGCACCGGCTGAAAGCTGGCGCAGGCGCGCAGCGCAAAGGAGGCCGGGAATAAGGCGAAATCGGAGGAGGAGCTTGGAGGATGGGTGTGGAAAGAGGCGGGGCATACGGGAAGCCCGCGTGTGGGCGCTCTTTTTACCAAATTGGAATCGCGGGTTAATAAAAGCATTTATTTGAAAGTCTCGCGAGATTGAGTGGGCCGAGCAGACGAAGTCAAGCGGCCTCTCGCGATAGATGCAGCAAGCGCTCAACGGGGCGGGGGGAGGGGCAGCGTGCCGAGCGTTCTCGCGACACTTGTAAGTACCGCGGCGGCGGCGGCGGCCACAGGGAGGAGAGGTTTGTAAACAGGGCAGTTCCGGGAGTCCGGGGGCTAGAGGGAAAACGATCGGGCCGTCTCTGCGGGCGTCGGAGCTCCCTACATCTCCGCAGGCACTGCCTCCGCCTCTAACCTTCTCTTAACCGGCCTTTTAGGACCGGAAGTCCTTCAACGGGAGCGTCCGACTCTTGAAGTCGCTGTTCCTCTTTGCCGGAAACCCTTTTCCGAGGGCTAGGAAGACGGCCCACCTGGCCGGAAGTCCCACCTCTCTGAGCTCCCCCGCCCTTCCTCAAGTTTTTCTGTCAGCTCTCCGTGTTTCCGTGTCCTCGCTTGGTTTTAATCCGAATCTAGAAAAGCGTACATTGATAGTGTCTCCCTCAGGTCTACGAAACAGGTTGAGGGTCCTTCGAGGGCTCCATGTAGCTAGGAAGTGGAACCTGGGGGTAGTGGGACTCCCTGAGATCCCGAGGGAGGGGCGAGGGTAGGACGCAGAACACTGCTTCTGCTCCTGCTACCCCGGACGCGGCTTCTCCGCCTCTCCCCTCCCGCTGTCATGCACGCTGCGGCCTTCCCGCTTCCTGTGGTTGTGGCCGCTGTGCTGTGGGGAGCGGCCCCCATCCGGGGGCTCATTCGAGCGGTGAGTCCGAGGACCGACCGGGGAAGGGCGCTGAGGGAAGGGGGTGCAAGCAGATGGGGCACATGGACTCTCTCTCTGCAGACCTCTGACCACAACGCCAGCATGGACTTTGCAGACCTCCCAGCTCGCTTTGGGGCTAGCCTGAGCCAAGAGGGACTCCAGGTGATTTTCTTCCATATTCCCCCAAATCTTCGGTCTTGGGCAAGGCTGGAGGAGGCTTGCCATGGGTGAAGTCGGAGAAAGGACAAGCCGAGGTAGGAACTAAGTGTTTGAGCACGTCAAGAGTGGAATTCAGAAACGAAAAGGACTCTGTCTTGTGAGGGAGTCTGCAAGTGGACTGAGATAAACCCGGGCAAGGCGCTGTGCCTATCAGTAGTCTCAGACTTCTTGTTGCCGGTCTGGCAGTAGACAAAGTTAATTATGGGGCAGAACCATAGTTTTTCTGGAAAGTGGAGTAATGCAAAAGAGTCACATGGAAGGGACCTTATAGGACAAAGTCGGGTATATAAATCCTTATAGAGTCCAAGGGCCACATCTCTCCTGTGGGGAGCAGCTCAGCCCGTTGCCATCAGGGGAAAGTAGAGAAATCATTGCAGGTTGTTGGGAGGATTCAGTTAGAGAAGCACTTTTATAGCCCCTCACCAGGAAGATGGCCAATTGCAGGGATTCATTTGGCTGTCAGTAATCAATGAAGTTGTTTGTGAGATGGGTTGGGGGAAATGGGAGTGAGGAAGAAGTGTCCCTTACTGGTCACTAGAGGAGGAGATGTGAAATGGAACTTGAGAGGAAGTGACGTAGATTGGTGGAATGACAATCAGTGGGAAACTGTAATGCAGATAGGGGAATTAGCTTGCAGTGTTGGGTTTTGGGTAAGTTGTCTGGCACAGTGAGAGGGATGCTGGGAAGATCTGGTTCGGGGCTGTCGTTTGTGCAATTGCATCCTCCGGAGCGCAAGAGATTAAGCTGCTGATTGGAGTGGGATATCCATACCTAAGAATGACAAGGAAGTGGGGGTAGAGGGTGTCCATACAGTATGTGGGAACCAGTGGCACTATGGTAAGCAATATATGGCTAACCATAAGGTCAGCAGTTCAAAGCACTCCAGGGGTGGAAGAGAAGGCTGCCTGCAGTCATACAGATTTAAGGCTTAAAAACCTCATTTAGAGTGATTATGAATTAGAATCAGCCCAGTGGCCATGGGTTTCTTTTGGGTTTGTGGGACCAGACCTAAGAAAACTAACCATTATTTGCTGCTCTCTCCTAGGGGTTCCTTGTGGAGGCTCACCCAGCTAATGCCTGCAGCCCCATTGCCCCACCACCCCCAGCCCCGGTCAACGGGTCAGTCTTTATTGCACTGCTTCGAAGATTCAACTGCAACTTTGACCTCAAGGTTGCTGAATGTGGAGTGGGAGCTGGGAGGCCAAGGGTTAAAAAGTCACCAGGAATGAAGGACAGCAAGGCTCAGGATGGCTCCTTGTCCCTAGGTCTTAAATGCTCAGAAAGCTGGGTATGGTGCAGCTGTGGTGCACAACGTGAACTCCAATGAACTGCTGAACATGGTGTGGAATAGTGGTAAGGCTAGGGTGTCTTGACAGGGGTGTTCGGTGGCACTGAGGCTGAGGGCTGGTGGGAAGGCTGGAGACTGAGGGGAAGGGAACTAATCGTTGGCAACACTCCCGTCCCTGTAGAGGAAATCCAGCAGCAGATCTGGATCCCATCTGTGTTCATTGGGGAGAGGAGTTCTGAGTACCTGCGTGCCCTCTTCGTCTACGAGAAGGGGTACGAAGTGTGTTTCCTTTCCACCCTTCCTCTCCCCAAGTCCGGGCCAACCTGGCGGCCGTAACCATGGAGCCTCAAACTCTCTTTACCATGCTTCTGCACTTTCTTGCCATCATATAGGTTTTGTTTCAATTTTTAAAACTTTCTAGTTTGGATGAATTTATTGTGATTTAGGTGGTGGTGGTGGGGTATGTTTCATACCATCACCTCTGCACTCATCAATTCTGTTCTTCCACTTCCCTCCTGTTTCTCTTCGTCCTCTATGGAACTCCGTCTTCCCTTTCACCCCAGTCCTGGTCACTTCATCCTTCCACCCTCATTCTACTTCTTTATCCTTTGGTCTTTCCTGCTCTCTTGACAGGGGTCTTCCTTTTCCCCCAGGGCTCGGGTGCTGCTGGTCCCAGACAATACCTTCCCCTTGGGCTATTACCTCATCCCTTTCACAGGCATTGTAGGATTGCTGGTTTTGGCCATGGGAGCCGTGATGGTGAGTACCTCAGAAAGCATGATGGGAAATACTAGGGCCTATAAAGCCAGATCCAATCTGGGGTTGGGAGGTGAGGTGAGAGGTACCAGCCCTGTTCACCCAACTCTCCAGATAGTTCGTTGTGTCCAGCACCGAAAACGGCTCCAGAGGAATCGACTGACCAAGGAGCAACTGAAACAGATTCCCACACACGACTATCAGAAAGGTGAGTGGGGCTAGGGGAGGGGAGCCTTTCTCACCGCTCAGCTGACTCCAGGGCTGCCTCGGAGAGTGTAAAGATGGCAGGGAGATGTTGGAGAGGCTACTGTCTCTCTTACCCACAAACAGTGACAACAGGAGGAGACGTACAGCAGAGCAGGCAGGCAGGAAATGTGTGTGTATGGGGGGGGAGGGATTTGGCCAGAGAAGGAACAGGTGAGATGAGGAGGGGTGGGGATTTTGGCCTAGAACCTCCAGTGCCCGTATAAGGCTACAGTGGAGGCTCTCCCCCCTCCTCCCATGATCACTCCACCCATACCCTTCCCCCTAAGAAACCACTTCCCTTCTTACCTGTTTCTCATTGCCTCCTCCCTCTAACCCCGAGTTTCTTCCACGTCTGCCCTACCCTTCCCCTACTCATCTCTGCTCTTTCACTGGTTCTGCACAAGAGGCAAATGCCTTTTTGGGGACTTAGCTCCACCACAGGCCTCCAGAATGAGTTCATAGGTTTCGGAAGGCTCAGTGATTGACACCCCTTCTTTTTCTCCAGGAGACCAGTATGATGTGTGTGCCATCTGCCTGGACGAGTATGAAGACGGGGACAAGCTGAGGGTGCTCCCTTGTGCTCATGGTTAGGCCCTTGGTCCGTGTCCTCATCCCCACTCCCACCCCAGCAGGCACCAGGTGTCTCACCTCCCTCCTCTCCATAGCCTACCACAGCCGCTGTGTGGACCCCTGGCTCACTCAGACGCGCAAGACCTGCCCCATCTGTAAGCAGCCTGTGCATCGGGGTCCTGGTGAAGAGGATCAGGAAGCAGCCGCTCAGGGACCAGAGGAGGGTGATGAGGAAGGGGAGCCAAGAGACCACCCTGCTTCAGAACGGACCCCTCTCTTGGGCTCCAGTCCCACTCCCCCCACCTCCTTTGGCTCCTTGGCCCCATCCCCCCTTGTTTTTCCTGGGCCCTCAACGGACACCCCGCCCTCTCCTTCAGCTACCCTTCTGGTTTAGTAACACAACACCCCCCCACCCAATCACTGATGACCTATTTCAGTCTTTTGCTCTCCCTCCAGTCTTCTGTGTTGGGGGGTGGGGGACATTCCAGCCCCAAGTTTCTCCCATACTCAACCCCTTTGAGGGAGATGGAGAACAAGGAGACTGGGTCTTTACTTTGTGAGTTAATAAAATTGTTTTTCTGGACTACGGGTGAGATCAGCCTTACACAGGTGAACTTAATCCTTTGGGGTATTCATCCCTTTGTGGACGTTAATTTTTTTTTCTAATTGTGGTTGGCAGAGGGTGCTGGAGAGACATAACCTGTAGTCATGGGGACAGCTCCAGCAGGCATTTGTTGTGACTCAGAGAGGGGGAGCCCCACCCACGTGTAGAGATGACTCAACTGGTCCTGCCTTGCCCGGGGGCCTGGACCCAGTCTCTTGTCTGGATGGCACTGTTACCCCCAATTCACCTAGCACACCAAACTAGCACTGACAGCGTGAAAGCGGGTTCCCCTGTCCAAATAGGCTCGAGGCAAGGAACTGGTATACCTCAACAATCCTGGATGCCCCCTTTCCCAACCCTATCACCTAGTCAGGATAGAAACAGGTCATGCTGCCTCCCCCAGGCCCTCACACCCAGACTAAAATCA